ACTCCGCCGGCCTACGCGGCGCCTTCCCTGTTACGAAGTGGAGCGTCGAGTTAATAGGAATTAAGGGGTAATTTGCTTATTATTTAAATGGTTGAGGAATATTTTTTTTCTATTTTCTGTCTTTCTTATACTAAAATTTAATGTCTCCGGGTCTGTCATGAAACAGATCTGGTAACCCTAGTCATACATTGTGTAGAATTACACGTTTAATTGCATATTTTTCTGCGATGTGTTCTTACATTTTGCGTTGTATTTGTACATTTTAATATCTTGTTCCTAATCCTCTACATTTGACCTTGAACTGACCTTAACTCAGACCTAATCGTGTTAAATGGACGCCTATTTCGAATTCAGCGATCCTAAAAACGTATAGACATATGGGTTTATTCTGTTTGCACTAAGAAAGGAAAATACCTAAATTAGGTTTATTTGGTCATTGATGGATTTTGAGAAAAAGTATGAAATCGCTTTTATTTCTGACACTGAACAACCTGTAATTTAATTTAATAGGGAGTACTTTAATCGAAGAACTTTATACGAAATATGCCCCTTAAAATTTAGTTCACTAATTTAGGTTTTGTATTTATTTTCGAAATATCCTATACAGGGTGTTTCAGAAAGACCTTCCGTAAATACAGGGGGTGATAGTACGACAAAAAATAAAAAATATACAGAGCGATAAAATATTATTTTTTAATAGAATTTTTACAAAAATTTCCAAACGGTGCGAAATATTTTTATGAAATTTGGTATTCCGGGGTTTTTAACGATGCCAAATACGATGGTCTAATTATTTTTTGGATGTTTCATAGAGGGCGCTCGTTATGTTACATTCCTATTACATTCTGTAGCATGTAGCAGAACGAGTGCCCTGTATGAAATATCCAAAAAATAATTAGACCAGCGTATTTGGCATCCTTAAAAACCCCGGAATACTAAGTTTCATAAACATATTTCACACCGTTTGAAAATTTTCGTAAAAATACTATTTAAAAGTTTTTATTTTGTCGCTCTGTATCTCGAAAACAAGATGAGATAGACATATAGTTTATAAGACTATATTTAAGGGAGGTTTTCCTAAAACACCCTGTATATTAGACTATACGGCAGAACTAGGAAAATAAATTCATTAAAACAATATTCAGAAACTAATTGTATGGTTGTGGACAAAAAAAAATTCCAACCTAAATATTTAAAAGGGCTTTAACGAACAAAATTAATATAACCCTGTAGACCAGGCGGTATCTATTTTGGTTTGGGTGAATCGTATATCCAGGGAGATTTTTGGCTTTTTGGCTTTCAAATATCACTAGAAATGAATTCTATGCGTATAAAAAAAACGTGGGCTTCACTTTTGACGATTATAGGTTATAGACGATTCAATTTCGAGCAGGCCGAAGCGGTAGCGCTATCTGCTTCCCCCCCCCCCCCNGTATCCAAAACATAATTAAACTGGTACGAAGCCAAAAAAAATCTTCAAAAATATATTTTTTAAATGAAAAATAATATTCTTACAAAAACGCTATATGTTCAATGAATATTGTAAATGTAAAATTATGTAAATTGACTTTTTGCAAAATTTGCTCCGTGGTAAAAGACCTCAAGAGAAAGATTACCTAGTAAATATATTTTATTCCTTTCTACGAATACTGTATTCATTATGAAGATATGCAGTACTTACTAAATTCCACATTTATGTAATTCAGTAATCAGTGTTCGACTACTTTATCAGTAAGGAAGTAGTGAAATTTAATTGGGCAGTCAGACTCTCAGAACAAAGAAATGACGAAAAAAGGAGGAAACCTCGACAAAGTTTCCTCCAAGATGATTTTTTGTGCAGAATTATCTACAAGATAAACCTCGGCTTTTCGAGATAATCAAGGTCAAAATTTCAAAAAAAAAAGTTCTTTGTGAATATCTCGCGCCCAATGCATTATATAGCGATAAAGTTGAAACTTTGACCTTGAATATCTTGAAAAGGGCGAGGATTCGGGAAAAATTGCAAGGGATCAATCTTGCAGATAATTAAATTCTCTACAACTTTTACATCCTATGTATGTGATGTCCGACACGTAGAATGCGAGATATTTGCAAAAAAATTTGACCTTCAATATCTTAGGTAGCCATGTTGCCATTTTTGCGTTTTTTGCGGATGTGGGTTTGTCACACTCCAACGAACGTCTGTGCAAAAATTCAGCTTGGAGGAAATTTTGTCGACGGTAAACGATAATTTCCCTGGGCTATACAACTTCCTTCAATTTTTCACATTGAAATATCATGGAGAACATGCAAACGGGAGATTTTTGGCTTTTTTCATTTCTAGTGATATTTGAAAGCCAAAAAGCCAAAAATCTCCGTGGATATACGATTCACCCAAATATGGCTTTTTGAAACAGATACAGATTCTATAAAGGACCACATTGCGTCTAGTTTAGATGGGAAACTTTTTATTGTCCACTGCTATACCATCGTCTTGCATATTATATCTACAGATTTAGAGTTTTCCTCAGATACCTATGTCAGCGAAATTGTTACGTGGGATTATGTAGCATGTGTATTTCATTATAAAGTTATATTAAAATGTAACGAAGGTAACTTTATTACACCATTTTGAGGTATATAGTAGTCGCGGTAACCTGGGTTATAATACATTATAATTAGTAAAATTCATGGGAGGAATACTCGCTTCATAAAATCCATTGGGCTAAAAAACATTTACAAATTATATAAGATATAATTTAACACTTGCCAAAACAACAAATATTTTTAGGCGTTGTTTTCGTATACATATTGCTTTGCAAAATATTTCAAACAATTTTGTATTACCTTCAATTAGTACTTCAAAGTAATTTATAGTAACATTTATATCGATAGGAGAAAGATAAATTTACACCTTCTAATTAAAAGAGATGTTGAAAGCAATTACGGCTATATTTCAATCGCATACTGTTTGATTAATGGACATTACCTACGTATGTCCTAACTGTTAGTGGAATTAAATGTCGTTATTTATATTTCGTAAGTAAAGGAGGTTCCAGCGTAAATGAAAGTATATGTATTGCAGTTCTAGGTACCATTTGTTTTGAAATGGCACTTTTCATGAAAATGCCGAATAAAGAAAATTGTCGTTGCATATTTATAGTTCACAAATTAACAAAACAATGCCACATCAGTCATCGTAATAACCTCATGCTTCCAGTTTTACTTTTTCAGAAGGCATAAATATAAGTCTATTTGTAATAGTCACTTAAACTGTTTTTTTTTTTTAGTTTCAGTGTTACAAGTCCTTATTAGTGCGGAATAAGCAATGTGAACATCACAGTACAACATGTTATAGTTAATAAGGTATTCACGAATACAAAAGAAGTATACCAATATTTATTCGATATAAATTTATCAATAATTTACTGAATAAAGTATGTATATATGGTCATACTACGACTAAGCGATTTATAATATGAAGCAAATCTATAATGTTTATTAAGGCAACCAATCGATGATTTTCCAATTGCAACACTCTCGCCCTGTTCATATTTTCACTTGTGTTGTTAAATAATTTAAAATAAAATCATTATATGGGCTGACATCCCCACAAACTAGCAACTATATCATCTTACACATTATAAAATTTCCGTTTACTAATTTCAAGTTTGGATGATCAGAAATCATTTTTGTAAAAATATATCTCAGTTTTGGATCAAATCGTGTTTAAGTGTTGTTTGCAATCCTTATGTGAAATAATTTCATTTCATGATAATGGCTCAGATGACGTATCCAAAACATAATTAAACTGGTACGAAGCCAAAAAAAATCTTCAAAAATATATTTTTTAAATGAAAAATAATATTCTTACAAAAACGCTATATGTTCAATGAATATTGTAAATGTAAAATTATGTAAATTGACTTTTTGCAAAATTTGCTCCGTGGTAAAAGACCTCAAGAGAAAGATTACCTAGTAAATATATTTTATTCCTTTCTACGAATACTGTATTCATTATGAAGATATGCAGTACTTAATAAATTCCACATTTATGTAATTCAGTAATCAGTGTTCGACTACTTTATCAGTAAGGAAGTAGTGAAATTTAATTGGGCAGTCAGACTCTCAGAACAAAGAAATGACGAAAAAAGGAGGAAACCTCGACAAAGTTTCCTCCAAGATGATTTTTTGTGCAGAATTATCTACAAGATAAACCTCGGCTTTTCGAGATAATCAAGGTCAAAATTTCAAAAAAAAAAGTTCTTTGTGAATATCTCGCGCCCAATGCATTATATAGCGATAAAGTTGAAACTTTGACCTTGAATATCTTGAAAAGGGCGAGGATTCGGGAAAAATTGCAAGGGATCAATCTTGCAGATAATTAAATTCTCTACAACTTTTACATCCTATGTATGTGATGTCCGACACGTAGAATGCGAGATATTTGCAAAAAAATTTGACCTTCAATATCTTAGGTAGCCATGTTGCCATTTTTGCGTTTTTTGCGGATGTGGGTTTGTCACACTCCAACGAACGTCTGTGCAAAAATTCAGCTTGGAGGGAATTTTGTCGACGGTAAACGATAATTTCCCTGGGCTATACAACTTCCTTCAATTTTTCACATTGAAATATCATGGAGAACATGCAAACATCAGAAAATGTATCATTCCTGTTTGTCCAGCAAATTAAAGCTTGTGTTAGTAGTTTTCTAAAATCATTCTGCAGGGCCTGGTTATGTTTATAGTATCGTAACACGATTTTCTGTATATTCAACAGCAGTGCAAAATTCAAGAAACTAAGATAAACATACGAGATAAAAATATGCTTTTTTTCCTTATTTCGAATGTATTGACAGTTGTCTTATACCTTGGAGAAAACTTATATGTATAACTCGTACAGTAAAGAGATATTGTTTCTAAATTGTTTAGATTTTCTAAAATGCTGCACAAAAAATTGAGCATTTCAACTCCCCCTTAATCAAGAAAGATTATCCACTATAAAGTTTGTTTTCAACTTACCTAGTGTTCACAAGGATGGAATGGATTTTCTGGATATCCTGAAATAAAAATACATACTGTAAAATTGGTAAGCGATTACATATAAATTTAAAGATACATAATACATTCATTAAATCAATGTATGTTCCTTCATGTTTCAGAAGTCTGAAAAACGCTGTAGGCAACATCATGTTATTCCTTTCTAACTGGAACGGCAACAATGTATCATAATTACATTAATTAGAAATAATTATAATAATTAAACTGAAATCAAGTATATAAGCACTCCCTTAATAAGACTTTAAATTATAGTTATTCAGCGTCATGGTCACCACGGTACAAGTAAAATGTTTTTTCCATTCAGTGCCTACCTATTGTGTCTATAGGCAAGTAAGCAGTACAACAACAACAAAAATTAATGTTATTCTATGCAATAACGATAATTGACTATGGTACACACTTTTGCAATGATAATTTTGGCATCCATTCTACGTTTAAAAATATTGAGCAAATATAAAATTGTTGGTTCGTGGATTGTAAAATATTTAAGCATAAAACATGTTTGGCTTAAGATTATTACTTGAAACACAGTCACTGTCTGTAGTAAAAATCGTTATTTGTCTATTTTCAGGTCAATAACTGGAAGCTTACATTAACTATTGAAGAAAATTCATATAAAATGAAAATGTAATGCCTTCTCCGGAGTTATTGAAGATTAAACAAAATGGTAACTTTTTCAAAACCCTGCAGATGGATATCACGTTAGTTACATTTCAAGCAAACGTAACACTAAATTAATTATTGCTGATGAGTATAAAAACTAATAAAAAAAAAACAAAAAACTAATAACTACAGAGTAAAATTATCTAATTCCATGAACTAAGTTCCCTTCCTGCAACCAAAGCGGACGCCCATGTGTTCACTTCAAACCAACAAATTAAAACAAAAAACTGGACTTTCCTAAAGTGATATATCACTCGATATTTCAAGGATCTACTTTTTATACCTCTTGTAGCAAAAGTGGTACACATTATACTAGCATTAATATTTAATGACAAAACAAAATTACAGGGTACAGCTGCGGACAATAAAAAGTTTCCTACTTAATCTCGTTTAGAAGACATGATTTTATTAGTTTATATTTACCTCTTTCAAAGTTTTAGGGCGAATTTTTTTACAGCAGATAACATTCATAGTAACGCCTTAAACGTCTATTAATTTTCAACAAAATTGTTTGAAAACTATGAGGTAAACGGGCTTGAAGAATACACCTAGGCACTGACATAAATTGTAGTCTGTACAAAAGGTTAGTCGAGTTACCCAAAGTAATTATCACACACACCCATGTGTATTCTACATAAAAATACGTGGAAGTGCGAGTGTTTACCTAGATTTAAAAAGTCATAGCAATTAAAACGCTATATACACAAGCTCGGTTATTTAAACGCGATTTTGTACAATATGTTAATAGAAAAAAAAAATAATGCCATTATTTATTTTTTATACAGGGTGATCCCGAGGTAATGGGTCAAAATTCATGGGTAGATTCCCGCAGCAAAAATATTGCGATTTAGGTGAACTTACCTTAGTCCAAAAGTTGATAGTTAAAGAGATACAGGGTGTTAAATGTAAAATATTATTTTAGTTTATTTCCATTTATTTCTCAATAAATGCAAATATCTACACAAAATTTTGGGGTTTGGGGTTCTTTGGATAGAGGAATTGAAATTTGTTCACATTTTGGTTATAGTTCATAAAGGGCGCCAGCTGCCGTAGATTGAAGGTGTTGGAAGCGACATAACTTTTTTGTACTTTAAGGTATCTCATCTTTGGTATCAAATTCTTATTTTCCAACTTTTTTCTAACCAAAAAAGGTAAACTTTATGAAAGTAGCTGTCTCGCATCGTTTCCGAGTTATTTGGTTTTGAAACTTCCAATGCTAATAGTTGAAATAAGTAAAATAATTTAGAAATGCCTTTTTGACAATAATTGCTCAAAATGTCCACCTCTAACTTCAATACATTTATCAACACGTTTATTAAAAGATTGTCTTATTTCAAAGTATAAATCTTTAATGCGAAATGACTGCAGCATTTGAAACCTGCTACTAAAGTTCTTCTCAAGTGTTTATAAACCATAAACAACTGATTTCATGTAACTCCAAAAACGAAAACCTCAGCATTTATGTATACGAGTATACAATTTAATTTGTAAGCTAAGATGTAATTTTAATTAGATACGAATAATACTTAATAGAAATTAGCATACAAATGACAGCAATAAGACAAGTGGAAGACGTCAATTATTTGATTTTCGTCCAAATCCTACTTAAGAAACTTTACCGCTAAATTAATAATACCTGTAGGTACTTAATTGTAATTTAATGCAACAGCATTGGAAGTTCCAAAGCCAAATATCTCGAAAACGGTGCGAGATAGCTAGTTTAATAAAGTATACCTTTTTTGTGTAAAAAAAGTTGAAAAATAAAAATTTGTTACCAAAGATGAGATACCTACCTTAAAGTACAAAAAAGTTATGTCGTTTTTAACACATTCAATCTACTGCGGCTAGCGCCCTCTATGAACTTTAACCAAAATGTGAACAGATTTCAATTCCTCTACTCAAAGAACTCTAATCCTCAAAATTTTGTGAGGATATTTGCATTTGTTAAGGAATAAAATAAAAAAAACTGAAATAATATTTTACATTTAACACCCTATATCTCTTTAACTATCAACTTTTGGACTAAGGTAAGTTCGGCTAAATCGCAATATTTTTACTTGGGGAATCTACCCATGAATTTTGGCCCATTACCTCGGGTCCACCCTGTATACTATTAAGTGCGCTTAATAACTTACCTACATCACTTCGAATCTAATCCGGTTTCCAAATACACAGTAATAAATTCACAGGACAGATATATGAAGGGAATTGTATTGCTGTAAATCTTTGGTTTGAAAACAGTTCTGGATATCTTTATTAGTAAAATATATAAATATATTTTTGTTATTAAAAAAGGAAAAATACTTTCTCTGAAGAGACGTTCTTGTAGGAATATAATCCATAACATCCAAGTTATCGCTAAATTTAAATGTACAGACACATATACATACAAATTCCGGATTGTATAAATGAACCTATATTGACCTAAATTTTGCCACAGGACCAAAGATAATTCCATTTCATTAACGTCCTGTATATCACATGCTCCAAGAAATAGGGAAAAAGCAAAGTTTAAAGTAGTGTATACATACAAAACCGAATCTGATTAGGAACAAGGTCTGGACCACCAAAGAACTGAAGGAAAATGGAGAAGTCACCGACAAAGAAGACGCAACCGTCATCTTATACACAGCAGAGCATATCGCCAAGATATAGAACCTACTACAGGACATGGTATAAAAAAGATAAATATCAATTCATTAAGAAATTTGAGAAGGAAATGGTCTCTGCGATTCGAGCTTCTAACAACCTTGAGAAACACAAATCTGACTCAGAAACACTTCGACTAAGAGTGAGTGAGGTTAAATCAACTACATAACACACTCAGCCTGTCAAATAAAATGAATAACCTGATAGAGAAGACATAACACCATCCTGAAAACGCTAAAGAGTTTATTAACGAGATCCTAGTATGTAGTATGTAGTATGGTGATTTTTTTTACTAAAAGTGCCAGTCAAAGACGCTCAGGAAGAAATTTATCAAAGGTTCATCGCAGAAGGCAAGGATGAGAATTTAGTAGACTTTACAAAAATGTGCATCTGATGATGGACCTTCTCCTTCTTTAGGGATCAGTATTATGAATAAAGTAAAAGGGCAACTACGGATTCTTCCTCATCTCCAACCTTGGCAAAAATCTACACAGATTCCTTCGAGAAGAAGATCCTGGAATAAACCAGTCTTAAGGCGAATTGTTGATTCATATATTTATAGAACACAATTATCATATGATCCTCTAGATACCTTTCTATTCCAAAATGTCCTTTTCATGGGCACAGTGCTTATAAAGATCTAATCCACACAGAACGTGGAACGTTTTGTGTCCACCATGCAATTCATAAACAAGGTATCGCCAACATCTTAGGCATCAACCATGCGCCGTGTTTTTAGTCAGAACACTTGAACAGGGACTAAAAACATGATCAGCTCACAAAGGGAATGGGCAGCCTAAGAGCAAAGGAGGAACATATTTACTGTATATACACTGATACTGCCACCACTTAAGAAAACAACATTAATGCCATATCTAAAGATAGGAGCAACCTTTCCCAATACGATTTGCTAAGATTTACTCCAAGCGAGCTTCGAAAGTCCTAGAAGTATACATACAAAATCAAGGAGTGGAACATCGCATCAAAAATTTCAAAGCGTGCACTGGAACGCAACAGGTTACTTCACAAATAATTTCCAACCACAGCACATCTCCAGCGTCTGAATTTGTTTGTTTCTGAAGAGAGCGGTATATCTCTTAAGCCTTGAAACGTCAAGAAGTAAAACTGACAAATTAGCAATCAACTCTTAAACTGTTCAACCAAACCTCCTATTTTATTCATGATCCTTGAAAAGAATGAAGTGAACAAAAAACAGTAGAGGAGATATAGGGTTATCATGACTTGGTTCGTCCATTAAATCAATACAGGTTAGGTTAATTAATGTCAGTATCATAATGTTAAATTGTGTCTAAATGTCTGTCCAAATATTCGACCCTCCCAAATATGGACTCTCTATGCCTACGATATATAGGTAAGGTGCATTCCAAAGTAAACAGGACTTTTTAAAAATAAGAACAATAAGCTTTTTTGGCAAAACCGATAATGAGGTGGCGCACTATCGTGCAACAAACGCCAACTTCCTTTTGCACGATATTCTGGCCGAATACGATGCACCAAACTCTTCAAAACGCCAAGATAGAATTGTGCATTGATGGTTTGGTGGAACGAACTCTATGTGACAATGCCATTAAAATTGTAAAAGCAAATCAACATTAGCTTCACTTTTGACTTTTCCCAAACGAGATTTTTTGGGTTTTTACTCATTTGGCGCCTTCCACTCGACACT